TGACAAAACATTTCTTAGTGCGATATGTATTGATATTTAAAAATCTACGAATGCCTCCATCGGTTCAAAAACTATATTAAAAACTTCCAAAATTTTAGATTTAAGCAACAGAAAAAGTTTAATATATGTGTCAGCAGTCTTATTTGGTAACAGACAATATAAAAGAAGTATATAGTGCTTATTTTCCAGGCCATAAATGGTAAATAATTGATAAAAATATTTCGTACTAAAGAAAATGTGACATCCATATTCATTTTACAAAACGTAGTAATATTTGTTTGGCAAGAAAAAACAATGATATTATCAACTGAACTGTTAATAAACAAAAAATTTTCACCTGTTGTCGTTTTAGGAGAATACATATCGACTACAGTATGTACTTCATGAATATCTTTAGGCAGGGCTGGCAAGAGCTGACGACGACTGTTTCTCTGCAAAGAACGTTGATCTGGTTCATGATTGTGAGTTAACTCACTCCTGGTCATAATATATTCGGCACCAATAGTATACAATTTAGCTAAACATTTTAAATTTTTCCTGATGCACCTCCAACGCACTTTCCCACTCTTTGATACGTCTTGTTTACAAAATGAAAATTTTTCTACAATAAGTAAGTCACAACCGCGTGAACTCTTTACTATCGAAACTACCATCATGTAATATAGATGTTTTCTATCTCTTGGTCGCCCACAAAATAAGTGGTTAGTATCTTAATATTAAAAGGTCCGGTATTTTGTAATTAGCTAATCACATTGTTAAACTAATGAAAATCAATTTAAGAAAGCTGAATGTAAATGTTTTAACTTTTCTAAGAAATGGAAATATGAAAAGGGTAGATTTTTATTTTCAGGTATATTCCAAAATCCTATCATAAACATTACCCTCGGCCGAAATTACCTATGCCAATAGATGGGCACTTTGCTTTTGGCAGGTAGGCGAGGGGATTACCGGTCGAAATTACGCCTGCCGAAAACCACAGGGCGCCGAGTTTTTCTCCTTCCCCGCGTGAATTTCGAAAGAATACCACGGAGATGACGTTCATCGGCGTTCCCGACTGGAGCTCAATGGGTTAATTTAAACATCATAATCGTAATCAGCGACCTAGGAAACCCCCGGCAACCCGATTTGAGCCAGTTCTCACTCTTATTTACAAAGCACTTTAATCTTCCAAAAGCCGTCTCAAAAAATGCATTTTTTTAATGCATTTTTGGCTGCAGCAATGCAATTTCCAGTTTGTATAAGATGGAAAGTAGGGTCATTTTTTTCAAAATATTTTTAGAAGCGAATTCAAAAAAACCGCATTCCGATCTTCTTAGTCTAAAAAATTCCGAACTTTTTGCCTTTTTACTGCTTAATTGCCTCGACTATTTTTGGACCTGGCCCTTCTATTGGCCTGACAAAATTGGTACTGACAGACCTAATTTAAAGAACATTCCCTTGTGAAATTCAAGAAAAGATGTGATAAAACAAGAAACTGCAGAGTTGCCAGGAATATTTTAAGGTATCCTGACAACACTGCAGCAAACAAATACTTGACTATGATTAGACAGAATCTGCGCCAAGTACGGAAGCATCTCCATATCATGGGGCTGTCAGAATCCGCACTTTGTAGAGGGTGCGAACAAGAAGATGAGATCATCGAGCATATCCTCTACGATTGCTCGACGCTCTCATTTATTAGGATATTTGTGTTTGGCGAATATCGGCTAACACCGGCCGATATAAGAGAAGCACCTCTTAGCAAAGTTGCCAACTACATTAAATCTGTAGGCTGGCTCACGAGCTAGGAAGTGCCTATCATTTTAGGAGGATGCAAAATGGGACTAGTGAGGCCTAAGTGACGTGGAAGTAACCCACCCTCCACACGTTATAGATACAGATACAGATAGTCTATATAAAAAATTTGACCAAATTCAAGTCCTGAAAATTAAGAAAATTTTTAAAATTAGTTTTCATATTTAAAAAGATCAGAAAAAATTTAGTAACACTACATGTCTTTACCATTTACAAATACATTTTTGTTATTTATTAAATTAAGTCAAATCTAAAATTATTTTGATAATATGCTACATATATTAGGTTTGGTCCAACAACGATCCGAAACCAGACATTGCCACCAGGATTCTGCGCAGTATATATTTTTTGGGGTCTTAATGATCTACTGCGCAGAATCATGGTGGCAATGACTGATTTCTGATCGTTGTTGGAACAAATCTATTAGAAATAACATAATATCAGTGACAGTAGACTTATAATAATACTTATAATATTTTCTTTTTATTATATATAGGATTGCATTTATTTAAACTTTAAAAATGATTTTAAATTAATACTTTTGCAAATATTATTAAAAAATAAATGAAAACGTATACATATGTCAAATTCAATAAAATGCTTATTTTTTTTTTTATTTTTTTGGCTCACAATCTTAATGCAAATCGAATCTGCAGGCCCGTATTTGTTACAAAATAGAAAATTTCATTGACTAACTTACCAAATTATGTCATACCGGGTGTCCGCGCGAAAACTTTAAATGGAATTATTTCTGGTGTTTTAAAATATATAGACTTGAAATTTTGGAAGGTCATTAAGGAAGTAGGGGGTAAATTAATAGTGTATAAGATACCACTCCAACGTAATATCTGCCGCCCCCAGCCACCCCCGGTTCAAAAGTTTAAATGATTTTTACATATTCTGAAAGAACGTAGTTTTTTTAGTATCTCTATGTGAAAAAATTACTTAATTACATAATGAACTTTGAAAGATATTTACAGCTAAAGGTTCAGATACCAGATATTCAAATATCGAAAGCAAAAAATAATAGCAAGCCATGAAAGCTGCTTCGTTGCTTAAACTGTCAAATAATATTGTTTGTGACACTTCTGTTTACTCGTTAGTACAAAAGTTTTCGAAAAAATTTGACTTAGTTTAAATTAAATAGCTAAAAAAATAGAAAAATGGTTTACAGTTTGGAAGAAAGAACTGAAATTGTAGTTTTATATGGGATTGCAAACAGAAACTATTCGCAGACGGCAGCATTATTTAACGAAAACCATCCCAACAAAAATGTATCTGCTATTTATGTAATTAATCTAATACAAAAATTTTTTGAAACTGGATCGGTAAATAATAAAAAACGTGATATGAATAATCGTGGAGCACGAGATGAAGCAACGCAAGTTGCAGTTCTTGGTCACGTAAATTTAGACCCATAGCTTTCAGTTAGAAAATTATCAGCTTCATAAAATACAGCTTCATCAAGAGTTGGGCGACGATGACTTCGATAGAAGAGTCCAATTTTGTGAAACTATGACAGGCATGATTCGGCAAAATACAAATATTTTGCGAAATATTTGTTTCAGTGACGAAAGTTGATTTTCCTTAAATGGTTTCGTAAATAGACACAATTGTCGATATTGGAGCGATGTTAATCCTCACGTTTTCCGAGAAGGCCATACGCAACGTCCCCAAAAAATTAATGTATGGGCTGGAATTCTAAATAACCAAATAATTGGTCCAATTTTCTATCACGAGAATTTAACTGGGCCTAGATATCTCAAGTTTTTAGAAGAATTAATACATCCTCTTATTATTCAGTGCTTGGAAGAAAACTTAGATCAAATGCAGGAGGATCAGTTATACTTTCAGCAAGACGGAGCTCCCCCTCATTACTGTTTAGAAGTAAGGCAATATTTAAATACCGTTTTTCCAGGACAATGGATAGGTCGTAGGGGTCCTATTGAATGGCCAGCTCGCTCCCCAGACTTGACCCCACTTGATTTCTTTTTATGGGGACATTTAGAGTCTGTTGTTTACAGGACACCACCACAATCCATTGATGATTTGCGTAATAGAATCATAGAGAAATGTAGAGATTTAACACCACATGTCTTTGAAAATATTCGGAACGCTTTCGAGAATAGACTGTACTATTGTTTAAATGTAAACGGTGAACATTTTGAACATTTGATTTAACTAAAAAAATAAAAAGAGTCCTTACTTTAATTTATAAAGCGAAATTTTGTTGGTCTATAAGAATACCTATTTTTGTGATAAGTTGTATTTTTTTGTGATAAGTTATATTTTTTTGGATAATTAGATTTTTTTGTTTCTATCTGCTTTAATTATTTCGAAATTTGTCTACTGTCCAAGGTTACTAGTTCTTTTTTTTAATATCTGGTATCTGAACCTTTAGCTGTAAATATCTTTCAAAGTTCATTATGTAATTAAGTAATTTTTTCACATAGAGATACTGAAAATACTACGCTCGTTCAGAATATGTAAAAAAAATACAGGGTGTCATTTAAACTTTTGAACCGGGGGTGGCTGGGGGCGGCAGATATCACGTTGGAGTGGTATCTTATACACTATTAATTTACCCCCTACTTTCTTAATGACCTTCAAAATTTCAAGTCGATATATTTTAAAACACCAAAAATAATTCCATTTAAAGTTTTCGCGCGGACACCCGGTATAAGAAGAGAACCAGAAATCAATGATGTATAAAAGGATGTATTGGAATTATAACATTTAACAGCCCAATTTTCCTTTCAAAATTGGGGAATAAATACCTGCAACCCCAAAAATGAAAACGCAAATTAAAAAAGTGTTCCGGCCAGTGAACGAACCTGAATCGATGACGAGGAATACACTCGAAGATCCAGGTTCGATCCTTGACAAAGCACATAATTTTAGTTCATATTTTTTCATTCTTCTTGGTGTCTTTTCACTTTGGGTTTAAGGGTATTGATTCTTTATATTTGTAGAGGGAATTAAAGAGTTAATTTTTATAATTCCAAAATGTTATGTTTAGTTCTCGTATTGTTTATCTACTTTTCGACCTTTCATTTATTGTATAAAATTTCAAAATAATAAAAAATAATATGAGAATTGCAAATCCTGTCACAAATTAAAACGAATAAACATGTTAATTATTATGTTTGCCTACAATAAATTTCCATTACTAAAATACAAGATATCTTTAAGGTGTCATTATGTAGGTTTGTTGTAAATAAAACGCAGTCAAATAAAAAAGTAATTTAATTTAGATATAAAAAAACGATCACACATAATTATTCAGTAGAGTTTAATTTGTTTACTTTGTCGATAAACGTGAAAATATCTTCGGCTAAAGTTTCAGGAACTTCTAGAGCTGGAAAATGTCCTCCTTCATGATTGGTTAAGTGAATTAAATTTTGGTATTTTTCTCTCATAATGCCTTCGGGATACAAGAAAACTTCATGCCTAAATCTAGCACAGCCCGTAGGAATTGTAATTGGTATCCTAAAATAAATATATGCATTATAAATATATTCTTGTCATAAGATTAACTTTATTGATTAAGGGCTAGTGGCTGAGTCTCAGAACATCATAAATTATTTTTTTTTAAACGCAAAAATATATTTATTTTTATTCCAAGTCATCTATCATATCCTTAACTTTCATGCATCTTTCGCCCTCCTTACATTTTCTACTAAATACAATTTAAACAGGTAAAGTACTAAGAATTTTATGGGTAATTCAGCAATATCACTAGCCATTACTTTACTTTTGATTTTGACCCCTTTTGAAGAGAAGTATTTACTTGGCTTTAGAGCAGAGCATGTAAGGGTGTCGTAGTACCCCACTTTTAGAGTTTATTTTTGGCTCTTTTTGAAATAAAAAAATATGTGCGTGTAGGAATCCATTTTTTTCTATAAAACTCGACTTTTTTTAACCAATTTCTCAATTAAAAAAAAATAAATTGAGTTTTGAAAAATTGAGTGGAGCATAGATTTAACCTTTACCTACACCTACATTAATTTTTTTATTTTAAATAGTAAAAAATAAATTTTAAAAGTGGGGTACTACGAAACCCTTACATTGCAAGATTATTCGTCTGGAAAGTGGCGCATCTGTTAGGTTTTTAAGAAATTAACATTTGTCAATTTAAACAATTTATAATATATTTTACTGATATTTTACGAGGGATAAATAAATTTTACGTATTTGTACACCTTACTGTTTTACGTAAATCATTTCTGTAATACTAAGGTCAACATATCGTAAGAGGCAAGTTCGCAGGTAAAACATCGGAGCGCACACAAACCGCTCTAAACATTGTTGGCGAATGGTGCAGAGAGGAGGAACTAACATTAAACCCGTACAAAATCACAATAGTCAACTTTACAAAACAAAAGTACCAACAGGACTAAAGTCACCAGTACTGAAAGGAGTGAAGATTCCATTTGTTTAAGAGGCCAAATACTTGGTAGTCATCTTTGACTACAGGTTAACATGAATCAACACTTGCAAAAAAAATCACCCAAAAGAGCATAACATCGTTCAACTTATGACCAAGGTTGTGTGGAAAAAATTGGGGACTACAACTGAAAATGTTCCTATGGTTATATACCAGAGTCATAAGGCCGACGATAACCTACGGGTCGGTGGTATGGTAGCTAAAGACTCGGCAAGCTGAAGCCATTTGACAGCTCAATGGTATTCAAAGGCAAGCATGCCTGAGTCCCCCGGGAGCTATGAGAATGACTCCAACAGCAGCTAACACCACTACATATATTCATTCAAGGCAAAGTCTGTCAGATACAGACTGCACAAAGGTTCATCACCCATAAGCAGTTTGCATGGACGTGACTACAGCGAGCCATATAAAGAGGTAGAGAACGACCAAACAATGTGAATGCCTTCAGATGAAATGCCTCCAAAGTATAGCTTTCAAAAGCAATATAAAGTAAGTATACCAGACAGGGAAGCTTGGATGGGAAGACCTCCTATTCATGCAGAATTCACCTGGTATACAGACAGCTCCAAAACCCATGAAGGTTCAGGAGTAGGTATATATAGTACCAAGCCAACGACAAGAATCTCACTGAGCTTAAGTAAACATGCAACAGTTTTCCAGGCAGAAATAGCAGCAATACACTGCGCAAAAGAGGTATTAAGACAAAAGGTAAATGGAAAAATCATTGTCATATACTCAGACTGTCAAGCGAAGTTAAAGGCACTCAGTTCCATGCAGGTATACTCAAAGCTTGTGTGGGACTGTTTAGAAGCCCTAACAGAGCTCGGTAGTAAAAACAGACTAACCTTAGCCTGGGTACCAGGCCACAGAGGACATAAAAGCAATACAGCTGATTTACTAGCCCGAGAAGAAGCCTCAAATTCTCTTATTGGCCCAGAACCCTTCTGTGGTGTTACAAAAACAACTATCAGGACATGCACAAAGCAGTGGATATTTAAAAAATCTCAGGAGTGGTGAAAAAACTCTCCAGAACAGATACAGGTCAAAGAATTCTTAAAAGGACCATCGCCTAAACTCACCGAGCATCTACTTAGCCTTAATAGGAAAAATACTAGAGTACTAGTAGATCTATTAACAGGGCATTGTAGGCTTAACAAACATATGTATAATATCGGTCTAATAGAAGAGACCCTGTGCCGACTCTGTCAGGAAGAGGAAAAAACGGCAGTACACGTATTGTGCTACTGCGAAGGTCTAGCAAGACTAAGATTCCTTACACTTGGAGAAGAAAAACCAAGGGCAAGTAGCTATACCGGAGAACTACTTTCCAGACTATCGAGTCTACTACAAAAGACCGAATTAGACAGGGTACTCTAAATAACCATTCAAGGATATCCACAATAAATCTGAAAAGGTCGAGGTTGGGGAGGCTACATGGTTCACAGTCCTAATTAAATCTAAATCTAATCTAAGGTCGACATATATAATTTGCAAGGGTTTTATAGTACACCAATTTTACGGATTATTTTTTATTTTTACTACAAGAAAAATTATGTAAGTACAGGTAAAGGCTCAACCCGTATCCGTCTGTAGTCACTTTTTGAAAATTTAAATCGAGTTCTTTTGAAAAAAATCTAAAAAGATGTCTTTCTAACGAAAATAAATACAAATAAAACTGCTAGAAGGGAAAAATATATTTAATTTTTACCTACAGGAGCATTTTCTTTTCTTACAATAAAAAAAATACGTTAAAAGCTTTTTCATCTAGAGGGTGACACCAACAAAATGTATATCCTTTTCTACTAAATAGAAGTGATAGACTGTACGCAAGTGATTTGAATTTATTTTGCTTTATGTCTGTACACTTTGTTATTTTTTACAGTAATTTCGCTCAATTATTTTAAATTAATTTTATAGTGTATTTATTAAAAGAATATATTCGAAATTAAAAGGTATACGAGTTTTTTTAAGGAATACATCTTCGAGTTAAGAATAATTAATTTTAGCATGTTAACAACTCTTGAATCTGTTAAAGTAATGTAAATTTTATTCAACCTAAGTAAATTATTTTTCTTACTTTCGTGCGTGGCTTTGATTTGTCGCACTCTTTGATACGCGTTGCAAAAGAAGATTTTCTGAAAAGTTTGCCAATGTCTATAGATAAGAAAAAAAGAAAATTATCTGAAAAGTTTGCCAATGTCTATAGATGAGAAAAAAATGCATGTGACACGAGATCAAGCTGATTGTGGCACAATGAAAGACGAAAACTTGTCACTACTGTAAAATTTGGAGACATTTGTATAAAAATAAAACGTTTTCTTTAAAAAATCTCAAAAAATCTTCTATTTTTTGCTAAAGCCACCCAATATGGCATGAACAATAAATCCAGAGTAAAATAAGATTTGGAAATTTATTTGCAAGAAAAAGTTTTTAAATGTGGACATTTTATTGAATTGAATTTGATTATGTTGCTGCCAGTCCGGATGGAATTTAAAACAAAAATAAAAACTATAATAGAGTTAAAATGTCGATATGTGCTGACTGTTGAAGAAGGAATATGCAGTAGAGAAATAACTTTTTGGGAAAAGGACAATACCATTAAGGAAAACCTCAATTGGTATTGTCAAATTCAGGAGCTGCACATTTGTACTCCTCGAGAAATAAAAGTGGTGAAAATTCCTCATAATGGCAGCTTTTGGGAAAAAAGATGCAGAATAAAATTTAAAATTTTTATATGCAATAGGCCTTACCAGAACTAGTTGACAGCAGAGCTATTAGAGACATGGAAGTACGGGACAGCATACCAAATAAATGGTGATAAATTTTGTTTAATTTTTATTAGCATGACGCAAGGAATCTTAAATTATTTCTAAAACATGGTAGTAAGCGATCAATTTAAAATAGAATTAATGTCTTTTTTAAATTTTAGATTTTAGCAGTGGCAACGGCAATTTTTTTTCCCTTAACCCTTTCAATATGACTTTTTTTTAGAAAAAAATATTTTTATTTTACTATTGGGGCAAATATATCCCAAAGGTGTAAAGTGTTAAATTACGACTTTAATATTTTATTGTTTCATTGAATAAGTCTTTTTAAGCTGCTTTAAAACCCAATAAATAAAACGATTTTTATTATTTTCACTCTTCAATCAAGTAAAATACAAAAATCTTATCAGTGGGACACATATGTCCCAATGGTATATTAAACTGGGACCAATACGTCCCTTAGGAATAAAAATGATGTGCAACTTAAATAGAACCTTCAGAAAAAAAAATAACATAACAACATTATTTACGTGTGAAATGCCTGGAAACAGTCATTGCATATTGGAAGATTACATCGTGAACACATAGTTTTCGTTCTTTCTTTAACTTTTCGTGATGTACATGATTGGCACCTGCGTCTAGTTTTTCCTTCATAAAGCAAATGATCTCCTACACTCACCAGATTTCTTGAGGAAGTTGAAGGTCTACCTGTACAATGTTTTCTAACTAGCCCTGCTTTTTGCCTTCCTGTATTTATTAGGCTGTCAGCCAGATTAATTAAAAACGCAATAAATGGAACGTCACGTTTGTGAGATTCTTTGAATAATATCCAAGCATTTGTGGCGGACGTTAACAAAAGCTTGTAAAATGTTTTTCTCCACCAGATAGTTGATCTGAAAGATCCACGCCACCCATAAACTTATATGCCTTTATTGCTTCAGGACAGGGAATGTCAGTTATGGTTCCGTCTTTTTGACGCCTCAGTACAGATCCTACTTTATCGTTATGACAGTTAGAAAGGACAATAACTTCTTTAGAATCTTTCCATAGATGTGCAATAACACCTTGGTTGCTGAATAATGTTTGGCATTCACCTTTATTTATTTTTTTTTTTTCAAATTTTGGCATATTTTTTCTGTTTGAGATACACGTGCCGACAGCAGCAAATAACAAATTTGTTATCAGAGGGACAGTGGTAAAAAATCTATCAAAGCACAACGTAACATTTGCGTCCCTTATGGAACTACCTAATTTGTTCACGACTCTTTCACCTAATG